CTAGAATGTGAATTAGTACACTGGAAAAGAGATTTTAGAAATCACACAGAATGCAGCAAAGTTAGATGAAAAATATGAACAGTTCAGAGACATGGAGAAGACAATGAAATGTCTAAAGAATGTCTAATATACATTCATGAAAGAGCAATAGAAAGAATGAGAGAGATTCAAGATTTTAAGAGATGAATTTGAAGAGATTTGCTAAAACACCTGATTACTCAGATTTAGGAAATACAAAGAAATGTAAGTGGATTAAAGACAAGTAAATTCACACCTGGATATAAGTCATGCAAATTGTATAACTCTAGAACCAAAATAAAGTTCTGAGGGGGAAAAAAAGCAGACCTTAATAGCAAGCAAAGAATATGAAAAAAAAACCACACAAAATAAAACATATAACAGTTATTTAAAAAGCAAAATTAGAAGTCTAATAAATGCAGTAAGGGCTAAGATAAAAACCAATCAACCAAAGAAATTAACCTATAATAAGTTATAGAATTCAAGCATAGAAATGAGCAAGAAACATTTTTTTTATTTTTTTTAAATATATTCTATTGATTTTTTACTGAGAGGAAGGGAGAGGGATAGAGAGTTAGAGTTAGAAACATAGATGAGAGAGAAACATCGATCAGCTGCCTCCTGCACACCCCTTATTGGGGATGTGCCCTCAACCAAGGTACATGCCCTGGACCGGAATCAAACCTGAGACCTTTCAGTCTTAGGTCGACTTTCTATCCACTGAGCCAAACCGGTTAGGGCACAAGAAACATTTTAATATAATTTCTTTTGTTTATGAAAAATGCCTTTAAGTAAGTGAAAGGCAAACCACAGATGAATAACCATATTGACAAAGGACTTGGATCCAGAATAGGTTAAGAATTTCTATAAGTGCACAAATTTTAAAAAGTCAATGCACTAGAATAAAAGGGACACATTTCTTTAACAGAAGAAATAACCAAAGATGGCCAATTAATATATGAAAACATATTCATAGTTTAAAAATCTTCAGTGAAATCCAAATTAAAATCACAATGCACAGCCATCAAAATAGGTATTTTTTTTAAATGACATGTGTTGGAGAGTTTCTAGATCAATTGGAATTCTCTGTAAAGAAATACAATGTTTCAGTGAAAAACTATGCATTATCTAGAGGACACTCCTATGGCATTTTATTTTGGCTTTTTTCATCTGTAAGCTATTTACAATGCATTGTCTACATAGGGCATGCTCTTTCTGATATCTGATTCCAACACTATTTCTTATCTTTGAGCTATTTTACACTCTATGTAAAGCCTCCCTCCCCCTTGTTGGATTCTCCTTAAAACTGATTGTGACATCAGCCTACTTGCCTAATAGAATGTATTAAATAAGATGTTTAATGTGTTCATTTTTATATCTGCATGACAGTCATCATTTTACCCTTTTTTGAAAGGATTCTTTTAATCTTTTACCCTAATGGTGGAAGTATAAAGTAGCAGCACTGCTATGGAAAACTCTTTGACATTACTTAAGGTGAACATATTAATATACTATGCATATATCTCTCCAGAATGAGTATATATGTGCATCAAGGATAGGTGCAAGAATGTTCCTATTAAGCCTTTCTTATAGTAGCCTATGACTGAAACAGTCCAAATGTTCACAACAGCACCATGATGAAATAAGTTTTGTCATAATCAAACAATGAGATTTATTTATCAATAATCCTATCTAATAATAGAGAAACATGGTAATTAACTGTAACTTCGCTACCCTTCCCATTGGCTAATCAGTGAGATATGCAAATTAACTGCCAACCAAGATGGCAGCCGGCAGCCACACAGCTGAAGCGAACATGAGGCTTGCTTGCTCCAGTGACGGGGGAAGCCAAGGTTCCCCGCCTGCCTCGCCCTGCTCTAAGCTACATTCTAAGCAACAAAGTTACTTTTATAGAAGCTAAACAAGCTCCAGATACCTGCTTTCAGCCAGCTTCGGCCTCAGAGCTTAGAGCGGCAGTGATGGCAACAATGTTTCAATTATAGAAGCTAAACAAACCCAGATACCTGCTTTCAGCCAGCCGCAGC